AGGTGGTAAATAAATTTATTAAATACTAAATTATAATATAATATATATTAATTATTTACACCACATGACACCTCACCCACCCACATCATCTCACAACACCACATTCCCTCCATCTCCGACACCGCTCCGGAGATGCTCCGGCGATTGTTCCGACTATTACTTCGGTGGCCACTCCGGTGACTCTTCGACGATCACTCTGACGTCTATTCCGACGATCACCCGAACGCCCGTTCCGACGGCCAACTTTCAAATTTTTCCAGAATTTTTTTGTCACAATCAGTCACAATTGGTCACCACGAATCACAATTCATAAGTCACAATCGGTCACAAAAGGGCACAATCGTTTACAATGAGTCACAATTCACCGGTCACAATCGGTCACAAAATGGCACAATCGGTCACAAACAGTCGCATTCGGTCACAAACAGTCACAACGAACTACCGGTAGTCAAATCGCGATCTGGTCATAGATCAGAAAAGGTTCACCGACACCACCAACTCCGATTGCAGCCTTCTTACTCTGCAATGGCGTCGACTATGCCTCCACCACCACCACCACCACCACATCAATCCAGAGCGCCATCAACACAGCACCACAACAGCCGCAGTTAAACAACCAACAAAAACCAACCTAAAAACTTCGACGCCACCAGATAAGTCATCACAGTACACCAGGTCGTGCACCAGATCTCGCAACGCCTCTCATCGAACAGCGGAGTGAAGGAGTAAAGGTGGGATGCAAGGCTTCATTGACGGAGCTCCCAGTGATGGCTTCTGGTGTCTCCAGCGACAGCTTCCAGACCGCCGCAAAGCACAGCTGCCATCGACTCCGCGCGAAGAGGCTTCGGTCCCCTTCCATTACAACAGCATCGCGGTGCTGCTTCTGTGGTGGCGACGGCGCCTCGACTTCTTCATTACAGTACCGGGATTGTGGTGGCGAAGGCACGGTGTTTGTAGCACCGGGATTGGGGGGTGATTATTAAGGTTTGAGTTTGGGGTTGGGTGGGGTATGGCTGCAGATCGGGATTGGGGGAAGATATGAGCTTGGGTGGGTATGGCTGAGAGAGAGAGACGAGAGATTTAGAGAGACGAGAGAAAGGGTTGGGNAAAGAAAGGTTTGAGGTAATTTTCTTATGATAAAATTTCTACATGTACCTCAAAGATTTGGAAATTACAAAATGAACAATACATAATTCCTACATATAAAAATCATATTTCAAAATTAACAAACTCTCTAAAATATTTCGTAAATCAGATGATATATCAAATTATTAAATAAATAATTATATTATAATATACATTTATTCTCTCTCTCTCTCTCTCTCTCTCTCTCTCTCTCTCTCTATATATATATATATATATATATATATACACTAATTGACATATTNNNNTATATATATATATATACACTAATTGACATATTGATGTTATAATCCCCACCCCACCAAAGAAATCTCCAGAAATTCAAATCTCTTTACACTTTCCACCCCAACGGACCCAACCCCGACCCTACCTCCCTGTAGAAAACTCCAACAATTAAAAATGTTATTTCTCTATAGAAACTTTCTCTCTCCATATACATTTACAGATACAAATAATTTTACAAGTAGTGGTGGTGGTAATGAGGTGGCACTGTGTTAGAAAATAGATTTTCGTGGTGGCAGTGATAGTGCATTACAGGAGATAAAAATGCATCGGAGTTGATCCCCCACCACACCCTAGGAATCTCAAGAAATTTAAATCTCTTTATACTCCCCACCCCAATGTACCCAACCCCCATCCTATAGAAAACTCCAAAAATTAAAAATGTTCACTCTATACATATTTATAGATACAAAATAATTTTACAGATGGTGGTGGTGGTGATGAGGTGACACTGTGTTAGAAAATAGATTTGCGTGGACAGTGATAGTGCATTGCAGGTGATAAAAGTGCATCGGAGTTGATCTGTTTAATGTGGTGGGGATGGTGGGGGTGGTGAGGTGGTAGCAAAGTTTTAAATACTGTGTGGTGGCAGTAGTTTTGCATTTTAGTTGACAAGATCTGTGGCAAATTGTGTTGTATGTGACTAGATTTATTGATTTTGGCCATACCTATGTTATCTGTGACTAACTATGACCAGAGCGTCTGTGACCAAGCCAGTCTAACTTGTGATTGTATGTAACCAAGTTACATATATTATCAGTGACTAATTGTGACCAAAATTTGTATTCAGTGTGACTGTCTATGACCAAATCAGTCTAATTTGTGACTCACTGTTAATCTCATCACGGACAGTTACAATGAAGACATAATTGGTCACAACCAATCACAATAAACACATACTTGGTCACAAAGGGCCACCATAAATAAATCCACACAACCCAAAGACCAACACCACAATCCATGACCACTCACCACCACCACCTCCACTCTAATGCACCACCATTACCACCTTCAACTCAAGTTTACCTTCACCTCAAAATCCACAACAACAATCACCATCACCATCACTTCCACCAACACATTCAACAAACACCAACCACCACCACCGACATCACACCATCAATAGAACCACCACCAACAATTTTAGAAAACACAAGACTCGAACTGTCCACCAGTTACTATGCCATCTCCTCCTCCACTTTCAAACACACCTAAAAAATCCACTACCACCTCTGTAATAAAACAGGTGAGAAGACCCAAATCACCGCTGCCACCACTTCCTCCATAGTAAAATCATCACCATCATCACCCAAAATCATCGCCGCCTGTACAAATCACATTGTATAAATTCGCATTCATGTCCTAATCACTATTATCTTCCAAATCTGATCCAATAACCCAACCCGAATTACCACCACCTTTTCCAATAATCACCAAGAAAACCACCCTTTCACGATGGGAGAATTATAGAGAGAGAATATGCAGAATTCGCAGGATATAAGAAAATCACCCTTTCACTATTTTTATTCACCTTTTAAATCCCCAAAGGTAGATCGGACCACTCGGATCACATAGTGCCACCAACACCTGCATCACTGCGCCGCCACCGCCGCCGCCACTACTACCACCACCTGTACCAAAAACACCACTCACAGTCTGACCATCCAAATCACACAACGCTACCACCATGATCACCTGCAATGCTCTACTGCCACCACTACAACCTAACAACATGCTTGATAATGTTGTTCCATGGAAGTAATAGCCTTGAGGAGGTGAATTGGCCGGTGGGAGGTCGCTATGATGGTCAGCCCTACTGGTTGGGGCGGCGAATCTAAAGTTTTCACTAGAGTCACTATCAATTTGACCATTTTTGGGGAGGGAGATGCGGTGGCGTGAAGTCGGTAGGTTAATAGGGCCGATAGAGGGAGCAAGTTCGCCGTCGGTGAAGCTAAGAGTGGATGTTGGGATACGTGCTCGGTGGTTTTTCCACGACCTGTTTTTTTTCTCACAACAGCAACTGTATTCCATTTGTTTACAATTAGAAAGATAAAACCCCTGTATAATGGAAGCTATTTACTGTGGTAGGTGGGTGTGGTAAGGTAACCCGTGTAAAGTGGAGATTGGTGGTGCAGAGTGAGTATAATATGATTTTAAATTAAAAAAATAATTATAACCTGATTTATGAAAGAAAACAATTTGTCCCTGAATTTTGAAATTGAAAATTAAAATGTAGGAGTTAAGGTA